CACCCAACCCCAGTGGATCTCCCATCACCACCACCACCACTCAGACCTCCAAGGGAACAACCACAGCACTGTCAGCCCTTGGAGGACCACCAACACCCAACCCCGAGTGCTGTCACCCCAACCCCTGCACTACCACCCCCCTCAGACCTCCAAAACAACCCCCGCCGTGCTGTCACCCACTGCAGGCTCACCGCGGTGGTTGGAGGAGCGCCGGCGTTCCGCCTGTTGGCGGTGCTGAGGAGGGATGCAGCCAATGAGGGGCCGTCCCGATCCGCTGCCATGGCAACGCCGCCCAATGGGGGGCAAGGGGGGACATCACCGCCTGTAGGGGGGGGGGGGATACAGTGGGAATGGGTCCTGGAAGGTTAGAGAAGGGGTTGGAGGGTCCTGGAAGGTCAGAGAATGGGTCAGAAGGGTCCTGGAAGGTCCTCAAAGGTCAGAATATGGGTTGGAGGATCCTGGAAGGTCAGAGAAGGGGTTGGAAGGGTCATGGAAGGTCAAAGAATGGGTCAGAAGGGTCGTGGAAGGTCAGAGAAGGGGTTGGAAGTTCCTGGAAGGTCCTCAAAGGTCAGAAAATGGGTTGGGAAGGTCCTGGAAGGTCCTCAACGGACAGAAAATGGGTTGGGAAAGGCCTGGAAGGTCTCAGAAGGACGGGCTGGGCTGGGAAGGTCCTGGAAGGTCAGAATATGGGTTGGGAAAGACCTGGAAGGTCTCAGAAGGATGGGTTGGGTTGGGAAGGTCCTGGAAGGTCAGAATATGGGTTGGGAAAGACCTGGAAGGTCTCAGAAGGACGGGCTGGGTTAGGAAGGTCCTGGAAGATCCTAACAGGTCAGAGAAAGGGTTGGAAGTTCCTGGAAGGTCACAGAATGGGTCAGAAGAGTCCTGGAAGGTCAGAGAAGGGGTTGGAAATTCCTGGAAGGTCCTGGAAGGTCAGAAAATGGGTTGGGAAGGTCCTGGAAGGTCCTCAAAGGTCAGAAAATGGGTTGGGAAGGTCCTGGAAGATCGTAACAGGTCAGAGAAAGGGTTGGAAGTTCCTGGAAGGTCACAGAATGGGTCAGAAGAGTCCTGGAAGGTCAGAGAAGGGGTTGGAAGTTCCTGGAAGGTCCTGGAAGGTCAAAAAATGGGTTGGGAAGGTCCTGGAAGGTCCTCAAAGGTCAGAAAATGGGTTGGGAAGGTCCTGGAAGATCGCAGCGCCATAGAATGGGTTGGGAAAGACCTGGAAGGTCTCAGAAGGATGGGTTGGGTTGGGAAGGTCCTGGAAGATCCTAACAGGTCAGAGAAAGGGTTGGAAGTTCCTGGAAGGTCACAGAATGGGTCAGAAGAGTCCTGGAAGGTCAGAGAAGGGGTTGGAAGTTCCTGGAAGGTCCTGGAAGGTCAAAAAATGGGTTGGGAAGGTCCTGGAAGGTCCTCAAAGGTCAGAAAATGGGTTGGGAAGGTCCTGGAAGGTCGCAGTGCCATAGAATGGGTTGGGAAAGACCTGGAAGGTCTCAGAAGGATGGGTTGGGTTGGGAAGGTCCTGGAAGGTCAGAAAATGGGTTGGGAAGGTCCTGGAAGGTCAGAAAATGGGTTGGGAAGGTCCTGGAAGGTGCCATACCAGTGGCGGTGTCGCCCAGCAGTGGCGCAGCGTTCAGCGTTGGCATTCCCATGATGCCCTGGGGCAGCACCCTCAATGGCGCCTCCCCCAGCAGCCCCGGCTTCTGCAACGCAACGCACCCAAAATTCACCTTTTTCAACCCAAAACCGCCCCGATCTCACCCCAAATTTCCCCACCCTCCAACCCCAAATTCCTCCGTTCCCCAAATCCCCCCCAAATCGCCCCAAATCCCACCACCCCCAACCTCAAATTCCTCCATTCCCCAAATCCCCCAAAATTGCGCCAAATTCGCCCCACGTTGGTCAATATAGGCCAAAATTTTGGTCAAAATTGCCCTAAATTCCCCCAAACTGTCACAAATCCCCCCAAATCTTGCCCAAATTGGCCAAAACTGCACCAAATTGCCCCAAATCCTCCCAAAATTTGGGTGGATTTGGCCAAAATCCTTCCAAATGGGCCCAAATTCCCCCAAATCCTCCCAAATTGACCAAAATTCCCCCAAATTCGCCAAAATCCTCCCAAATTGCTCCAAAATCCCCCAAATTGGCCAAAATTCCTCCAAATTCCCCCAAATTCTCCCAAATTGGCCAAAATCCTCCCAAATTGGCCCAAACCCTCCCAAATTGGCCAAAATTCCCCCAAATTCCCCCAAATTTGGGGCAAATCCTTCCAAATTGGCCAAAATTGGCCTAAATTCCCCCAAACTGTCACAAATCGCCCCAAATCTCCCCCAAATTGCACCAAATCCTCCCAAATTGGCCAAAATTCCCCA